TTGAATGAAATTTTATTCAAGAATCACAAACGGATATTGTCCACTTGATTTTCAAAAGCTACCATTTCGGGAGAGAAATGATATTCAACAACTGTATTGCTCCCCAGTTTTTGGCCATAAAATGTTGTATTTTTCTTAACTGTTTCTGCATTTTGATTGCAAAAGAAGCAAGTCATTAGAATCAGCTACAATCAAATTTAGCAAAGTTCAGGGCATTTTGCCTTTCATACTGCTTCAAAGTGAAAAAAAACTGCGATCAAGATACATTTTCCAAACGTATTTTCCGCACCTTGGTAGCAATCTGAAGATTTCCTCCTACTCATGATAAATAATCAAATAAACCAAACGGGTTCGTAAAATGCAGTATAGTATTTTTGCACACCCTTTTTGTTTGTAACAAATAATTTCTTCTATCCCCCACTTCAACGTTTAATTTGTCGACCGCAGAAATTTTTTTTGAAATAATTGCTTAGATACTACGAAATATAATGATCAAGGCGAAATTAACGGATATTGGCCATTTCGGCAGCAATCTGAAAATATCGTCTTACTTAACGGTGCAAAATAATTATCACAGGATTGTAAAATACAGTATTTTTGCACACACTTTTTTTATTAGAAGGAGTAGAAGGAGTTCCTACTATCCTCTAATTCCACGTTTCAATTGTCGACTGCAGAAGTTATTGCTGAAATAATGATTGCTTGCTGGGTACTCCAAAATATAGCGAACACAGTGCAATTTCCAAAAAGTTCTTTGGTTTTTGGCAGCCATCTGAAGAAATCGTCTTACTACTCAATATGCAAAATACTCATAACGGAATTTTTAAGTACACCATTTTGGCATAACTCTTTCGGTTCACGAGAAGGAATTTCTTCCATGCCTTGATTTCCATGTTTCATTCATCGACTGCAGAAGACATCGTTGAAATAAGGATTACAGTAGGTAAATACTGTACCAAGAAATATTGCTACAGAAAATTCCAATCATTTAAATGGGCCTCGAACTATTTTTCAAAATCTCGAGGCACAGCGAAATCAAAGAAAGCTCGTGTTGTCCCTCTGTACTGTACTAAAACGTCATTTAGTGCCTAATTTCGGGTTGATTCGTAATTTTTCAGGTGGTCATGACATGATGGAGAACTTTTGAAGACCGCAACTGAATTTCTTGACATTTTTGTGTGAAATTTCATGCACACACGAGTCAGGGATTCACCAGCCTTTTGAAAATGGAAAAAATACGCGTGGTACAAGAGCAATTGTACAATCATCACCGGTGTTGAGTAAATTAATTCGACTTTGTTCACTACGAAAAAACAAATTGACTATAGAAAAAAGAAGAAGGAACTTAAACACAGGTGAATTTAGTTGTGAAGTTGAAATTAATGAAAAACAGAATGAAGAATGACACAGATCTTCAAGAATTTCATTCATCGCGGGAATCAGGAAAAGCGTCCTGTTAATTTGAATTTCATTCCCAAGATTGATTCGAGGATTCCTTCGCAACATCATTTCAAAACTAGCAAATTTTCTGCGCCAATTTATTTAATATTTACTACTGCGCGCAAGAGGGAAATTATCCTGATAATGATACTAAAATTTCGTGTCACCCCTCTATACTGTAATCAAACTTCCTTTAATGCCTAATTTCGGATTGATTCGTAATTTTTCAGGTGGTCATGACATGATGAAGACCTTTCGAAGACCGCAACTGAATTTCCTGACATTTTTGTGTGAAATTTTACACACACACGAGTGAAGGATTCACCAGCCTTTCGAAAATGAAAAAAAAAAAGTTCGCGTGGTACAAGTGTACTTGTACAATTATCACGGGTGTAAAATGATTCGACTTTGTTCACTCAGAAAAACAAATTGACAATACGAAATCGAAGAAAGAACCTAAACAAACCGGGTTCAAAAGGTGCCAATCGTTCCACAAATCACATGTTACTTTTTTTATTTTATTTTCATTTCACAAGCATTCGGTTTCTGTCTGCTATCGAGAAGTACTGTACTGAATACTGATTTTAACAGATGTTCCGACAGAATTGCGGATTCGTTCATTATCTAATGAGAACCTTTCCCCCCTTAATGTATTCGGCACACCAAGGTACTTCTTCTGATACATATTTAATTGCGGTAATAAACCTGGTTCAACGACACTTCGCAGTTGCAGCTGTCGCAGTCAAATCCAAATGACATCGCACCTTTCCGGGAATTTTTAATTTTCACAAATAAAAAAAGTGGAGAACGACACCAGAAAATTACGTTTTAAATTTCAGAATATCCGTTTGCACTTAATTTTAGGTTGGTTCGCAATTTTTCAGGTAATCGTGATATGATGAGGACCTTTTCTTGGTCACAAAAGTTCGTGATCACCCGAATTTCTCAAATTTTTGTGAAATTATTGCTGATGAAAAATACTACACTGCAATATTTTTTTCATGGCATGTCACAAAAATAAATTGTAAAGTAAAATTTGTTACGCCAAATAACAAACTCAAGAATTCAAATTCTTGGAGAACTTGTCCATATATACATCTTTGTGTGAACCAGGAAAAACTCTGGTTCACACGCCTATTTTTTTGAAACCCACAAGGTTTACTTCATTGCCAAATTTCTGGAAATTCCAAAACCGTTCATTCAATTAAACCTCACACAGAAACAAGCTGAAGACCTTGTGCTTTAAATTTGATTTTTACATATATTTTGTTTCCAATGTCAGGGAATGCATGGGTGTATGCATACATGTCAGATGTCCAGTTGTATTTCATGGATTGTATTTTCTTTTATTTTTGTTATCAATTTGTGCTCTGTTTCCTGCTCTGAAGTGATTAAATGTCTTTGGTTGTCAGGGAATGAATGGGTGTATGCATACATGTCAGATGTGCAGTTGTATTTCATGGATTGTATTTTCTTTTATTTTTGTAATCAATTTGTGCTCTGTTTCCTGCTATGAAGTGATTAAATGTCATTGAGTGGATTTGGGTTGAGTGGGAAGGGGGTTTGGTTGTGGAAATCTTGATTGAGCCTTGTGAACGCTGAAAAGCGGCAAATAAAGTGTCCTGTTCATTCATTCATTCATAATGTCTTGACAGGTCACTTTCAGTTTTTGCTAATATCTTTGAGAAATTAAAATTTTTCTAAAAGACACGACAAAATGCCGGATATCAACTTGGGGTTTTTTATTTGTCACCCCGAAAGTCGTGAAATGCAGACGTTGGCATTGGGACAGCAGCGGTCGAAGCAAGTCCGGGGTTTTTTGTTGTTCGTGAATGCGGTTTCCTTTCTCTCTCGGGACGCGATCCCGCGGGGATCCGGCAGAGAATCGCGGGATCCCCGCAGAGCACGCAGCATCATTGATTATTTACTCGGATCCGGTCGCCGGTGAAATGGTTATTCATGCGTGGAAGTGATCGGAAGCACAGTCAGGTCGGACTGCGTGGGCCGAAAGCGGGAATAATGAGAGCGCGGTGTTGATATCCTCGGGGGCGCAAGATTTCCGCCGAAGCCGGGCTTAATGGAACCGTGGCTTTTGTTATGAAAAGCGGCGCCCCGGTGGGCTTTTCTCGACCGCCGCCGCCGCCGCCGCCGCCGCACGCGGAGCGGCCCGGCCCCGCCTCGGACTCGCGCCCGACGGAATCTGGGCCAAGTCGGCTTGATTGAAACCCACCGTCCTCAGAGTATCCCCGTTGGTCTTGACTCCGGCCTGTCAGCTTTCGGGTTAGCAGTCACTCAAGAACGCCCTCGCTTTCAAAACACGTTCGGACTTAATCGGTTAATTGCTTCACTTAGCCGGGACTCGCGAGAGTCCACTCGACGAAGCTCGAAAAACATCACCTCCGGGAGAACCAGATGAACCCGCCCCCATCAGCCGACTTCAACACCCCGTCTCTCTCTATAGAGCAGTACAGTACACTGTCCCGTGCAAGTGGGTTCAATTCAAAACCCACCCAAGCAAGTGTGTGCCCTGATCCTTCTGGGCTCGCACTACAGCATGACTTCCGGAAGAGAACCATTTCCAAGACGCGCGCACGAAAGTTCACTTATTCTATAGATTGAAGTCAGGTACTGTACTGTACTACGCAGGCATCCACTTATTTTCAAAGAGACGCATTTTCTGACTACAGCAGTACCTTCTTTTCTACTCAAACTCCTTTATTGAGATGTTGGGAAACCCTTCGTTTCATCCCACGATTACCATGAGCCACGATTACCATCATGCCCAGGGGCTCTTTCCCAGAAAGTCCAGAGTACGCGTTAAATGTTCATTCAAAAATGAACAAACACGGTATTTCGGCATCCCTTTAATGTTCGGTCACAGGAAATGAGTTACTGTACTTGAACAAATCCGGCAAGCTGGGTGAAGTCAACAATCGCGACGACGTCGGCCATTTATTCGAGAGGAACAGCACAAACGAATCACAAGGACGAGGCAAAATTTGAGTCCACTGCATATAATTATTTCCGGGTGATTCGCGAGAAAAATCCCGAGAAATTCGTGATCAGGATTTTTGTGCTGATTTCCCTATGGTTGACCTTCGACCGTGAGTGAAATTTTTTTGGTAGAGAATTTCTAGCGGGTATATTTTATATCAGCAGAAGGATATAATCAGAGATCAGTTGATAAATGGCTTCCTAGTTGTCAGGTTCGCCGAGAATCGGGAATTTTGCTGATGACATCGACGAATATCGGCACAATAAATGCGTTTTTGGGCATAAATTTTATTTCAAGAAGAATCCGTGTTCCTGTGTCCATTCGTCCATGTCAAATTCTCGGTATTTTTTTTCTCTTTCACAAAAAATTCGTATGATGGATTTTATTTCTTCATTGTTCCTATGTTTGTTTCTATCCTATTATTTGTTTACGCATCATCGTGCGTTATGCAGGTTCACAGGGTTTACTCTCGCGGTACTGGGGGTTCACTTGGGCACTTTGCCAAACGAGGTATAAAAATCTTGGCTCGAGCTCCAGTCCCCAGAAATAAACACAGCTAAGTTTTCCTCAGAGAACATTCAGGCTTCCTACATGAGAACGACGCAGTTTGTATCCGAACGTTAGTCCGTGCAACACATCGGTGTCGTTTTTTTCCCCGGCTGCATGGTGAGAAAATTGCAGAAATTCCATAAAATCTAGATGGCAATTCTCGCTTTGACCTTTCTGGGGATTTTGGAGGATATACTTTTACAAGAGTGGCTTCGAAACGTTGCAAAATAAATGAATGTGAAGGAAATGTGTCCGAAAAATTTGCCTCCTCAATTCTGCTCTCGAGATTGAATGCGAGGGTCTTTTTTGATCATAGAGTTCAATACTAGAATATTGAAAAAAATATAATTCAACTGGGATTGGGCATTTGAATTAAATGCATTCTATATGCACGAATCAAGTGATTAAAAAATGTATGAAGAGACATTGACTTCAGAGGGGCATTTTCAAGTCTTGTCATTTGCGCTTCTGTTTATTTTTAAAGACTTTTCGGAAATTTAAACTATCACAGAGTTCCTTTCTTACGGATTTAAAAAAAAGACGATCAAATGGGATCGGCCATTCAAATTAGCGGCAGATTTGCACAAACAAGTCGTGAACAAATTTATGAAGCGACATTTTCAATTTGTATCTGCTTAGTTTTAAAAGCTATTCGACAACGCCTGTGATGAAGTGAAAATGGCCTAAAGAAACCAATTTTGGTGTTTACTTCAATTACAAGGGACTGGACTGATGCAGAGCTAGAAAAGGAGACACCATCATGACAAGGATAAACCATAATTGTGCTTGCTGTGGGAAGTTCTCAGAGACCAAGTGCAGTGGTTGCCACATCGTGTTTTATTGCTCCAGGACGCATCAGAAGGAGCACTGGAAAAAGCACAAGCCATTTTGTTTCCCGAGATTCAAGGTAAAGTGCCGTGATTACGATTGCCTCGAATACTTTGATTACTACTAGATCAGCACATGTTCCTTCGAGTCTTTGACATTCACTTTGAACTTTATTCTAGAAGACGATTGAAGGTTCATCATACGGTGAGTAATTGCCAGTGACGCAGATAGGACTTTCAGCCTTGTGTTCAGCATTAAAATTCATTCTTGCGTGGAATTTTCCGTCAAAATTTAGCACATACTGTAATTCATCCAGAAGCATGTACATTTTTAGGTTGGAAAATTGGCGATTTTTCTGGGAAGAATTCGATTTGGCAAGTAAACCGCGAAAATTATTCTGCCACCCACGTTTATCAATGTTTCACGCAAAAGCTCTTTTTATTTTCATGATCCAAATTAGTCAGAAAATTAATTCGATGCGTCTCATAAATTGCATCTGCTGCGCGTGGAAACTAATAAATCCGTTTGGCAACTTTCTTGCTGCGTGGAAAAAGGTGCAGCGGTCTGAAACCCTAGGAAGACACTTGATTGCCAACAAGAAGAAATTGCACGCCGACGAGCTGATTTTCCAAGAAAGTCCGATCGTTTTCGGACCGCAGTCGAAAGGAGGGCCGGTTTGCATCGGGTGCACGCGGGAACTCAAAAGAGACCCGAAAACGTGCGAAAAATGCGGGTGGCCCGTCTGTGGTACTTCGTGCTCCATGCTCCAAGTGCACCAAGCTGAATGCGACATTTGCACACCCGCCGCGGAAAAGATCAAGGCTTACGCGAATTCGAGAGGTTAAATCCTGCTCACATTTTCCCAACACGGAAGAAATCAACTTTTCCGCGTGATTTTTCCATTTCGCAGTTTCTGATTGGATGTATGACGCCATTCTGCCCATGAGGATGCTTCTCCTCAAGAATTCGGCACCAGAAAAATGGAAGATGATAGAAGAAATGACGGATCACATCGATACAGTTGAATCCCGCGGAGATGACCTGGCTCGTCACGTGGAAAAATTGACGAACTTCTTGAAGAATACTGTGAGCAATGCAAAACCTTCCTCGAACAGCGATTTATTCATCGGAAAAATATCTCGTGATATACCGGTAACCTGGCTAACGCTTGCAAAATCATTGTCTTCCACGAGGCCATTTAGAGAATGAATCCCCCGAAAACCCGTCGCTAAAAATAAAAAAAAGAATATGAATAATTTCTGATACTGCTCAACCTTATAATTCAAATCCATTTATTCGCACGTACTAAAACCCTATTTCAGAGTTTCTCATTTCTCAGCAAAATTTCACCCCGATTCTTGTGTTCAAGCGAGGGAATTTAATGCACATTTCAACGGTTTTCTTCCTTATACAGGTGGACTCCCTCTAAATCGAATTTCAAGGGGCCAGAAAAAATCGTAGAAGAGAGAATTTCGTCATAGACAGCCCCTAAAACATGGGAAAAGAGCCCGATATGATCAAAAAAATAGTTATACGGAGAAAATCGTTGTAGAGAGAGAGAGAGAGACACTCCACCTGCATTTATTTATTTAAGCTCAATTATTTTACTACTTTGGACGAATTATTTCTATGGAGTTTTTGTATTTTTATTGAATCTGTTTGTCTCATAAGTGCATGATGCCGAACTTCGGATCACACTTTGAAAAAATGACCTGTCACGCAGATTTTCAAGGATTCCGATGTGACCGAGGCAGACGCCAAGCACGTGATCGGGGCAGTTGACGTCAACGGACTGGAAGTGAGGAAAGAGGACTTGGATTACCTGGCCATATACCCGTACGCCATCCTGATGGAACACAGCTGCATTCCCAACACGAAGCACACCTTCGAGAACCATACCCTCGCCATCAGCGTTCGGGCTGCAGTGCCCATTGAACCCGGCGATCATTTGACCACCATGTACACGCACGCGCTTTGGGGCACGGCTGTCCGCCGTCGTCACCTTTGGACGACGAAGAACTTCTGGTGCTCGTGTCCCAGGTTCGACACATTTTCCCATAAGTCTTTCAATGCAGATCTCAAACCCCGAGGGGAATTATTACGTGGAACGTTTGAAATCGAAAGTCCCTTATTGTGGTGTCCTCGGGACAAAATTGGCAAACACGTCGGCAGGCGTTTGCCGGGCTTCATCTCATCAGCTTTTTATATTGTACAGTATCTTCAAAAGTGTACCCTTCATGTTGAAAAAAAACACAATTCAAGGTCTTTTCGCAATATGACTTTCTCGTAATCATTCAAAATGGAAAAGTCGCAAAACGCCAAGTCTCGAGTGCGTACATCACTCCTGCTGCGGTGCACAATTTGATTTGTTCTGACACAGGGAAAATTTCTGTCCAAAAATAATAATTTACGCACAACAACGAACTTCTCTTGTGCATCACGGAATTTGGGAAAGCGCTGTGCAGTGTACAAGTACGACAGTTTATTTGCATTATAGTAATCATTCAACTGCGTCCCACAGGACCAGCAGTTACGGAGTGGAGCAGTGTACTCGTACTGGACAGTACTTCAAGCTTGCGTGATGTGCACTTCACTTTCTAAATGCTGATACGTTATTGGTTCAACGAAGAACGTTTTCAGAAAGGAAAAATATTTGTAAAAGGATAAATAAATTCGAAGCTCTCGGGAATCAAGACGCAGTAGCCCTATTTTATCGCGGGGGTTTTTTATTATTATTAAAAATGGAATTTCACGTGACGGCCACTCGATTTTCCGTACAACGCAACATCACCGCCAATCGTTGTTTCGGAGGGTAGAGTTTGGGTTAAATAATGGAAACCACACTCAAGTTTTGCATTTTTAAACATCACTAATATGCGTAATTTGAGCAACAGCTTCGGGTTTCCCGCAGATGCGCAGATTCCACGGAATTCGGAACCTGCATGAGCGCATTGAATTGTCGCGGATGCGGAAGCCCAGTGTTACCCAGCAACCCTCTGGAAGAGACGTCGTTGTGGATGTGCTCGACGCCCGGCTGCAAGACCCCGGCACTGTCCGCATCCCGGGTCGAGGAAATAACCTGCCAATTCGGCCAGGTCGTGAACGAGGCCCTCAAAGCGGACGTTTCCGTGACCTCGCTGGAGGCGTGCAAAGCCAAGTACAGCTCCCAGTTCCACGAGAACCATTTTCACATGCTGACGCTGAACCACACGTTGTTGCAAGCGTACGGAAGGGACCGGAACGTGGCCGATATTTGCACAACGATGGAACACGCCGAGAAGAAATTGGCGCTTTGCAACAAGTTGATTCCTTTGTTGAACGTCATAGATCCGGGTGCCTCGCGATTGGCCATGTACACCGCTGTGGTCTACTTCGAATTGCACGCGGCACTCGTGGACAAGTACAGGTCAGCATAGAATATGAAATTCTTAGTAATTTACCCGAGAAATTGAAGAGTTTTAAATTGAAATGTGGCAACATCTTGGACAATCCCTTCAAAAAAATAAAATAAATACTCGTCGTTTATCGCCTACAATGGACCCTCGGTTAAGGCACTTTTGGTTTTGAGGAAGAACCCACTCGGTTAAATAACTTTTCTCTGGGTAAAAATCCAAAATTTAATTTCAACGCTGATATTTTTGAAGTGCAAAAAAAGTCAACTTGGCACTGATATGAAATTTCTTCCCTTCCGGCACTCTGATATATGTAATCTTGTGTTTAAAATTGTTTATTTAGCAACCTGGTTCATATATGCTCGTCTGTGACAGAATTATTTGCGTTTCCGTGCTTTGTTTTTCTAGTTTTTCAATTGTTAGAAAGGTCTATTTCATTTTTACTGCCAGCAAAGAAAATAAATTCAATTTTCATCTGACGTGTAACCTACAGTGTATGTGTTTCTCTGGATGTGAAACTTTATTATTGTTGTTTTCATCACTGCTACTTCCATATAACATTGTAAAAAAAAACATGCTGGGCTTATGTAAGAGGCAGCAATAACTTATTCTGATTATAGTTCCTGGTCTTGAATTTTGTATAATCAAAGTTCAATTGTCTTTTGGGATCACGGAATGAATTTAATTATTTTTCATTTGACTAACTTTTTGGTTAACAAACTCTCCAGTTAAGTTTGTGAACCAAGGGTCCATTTAAATTTTCATCTCTTCCAAAAAAAGCATCAGCACATATTTGGAATTATTATAGTTCCACCGGGTGAGTTTGGAATGATCGGTCTGATTTCCAAGCAGAAAAATTTCGTAACTCTGCATGCCAAAAACCTGAATGAAGCCCAAAATTCTACTCCCTTTTTGTTCATCCCACTTCCGCAGAAATAATGTAATAATAACCAGTGCATTAAAGTCTTGTCACAAGAGATACTGTTGAGAAAGTTCTTCAGTATAAGAAAGTTCGTCAAGTCTTCACAGGAAGCCCATAGGGTATATATTGGAAGAAACTGTTCTCAAGGAAAATGATGGGATTCTCCTGCTAAATTTTCTCAACCGCAGAACTGCACATCTAACCCACTTTGAATCTGGACTGAGCAACTTACAAGGAGACGATCAGAAGCCTCTTTTTAAGTCAGTGCTCACAACGTATTTGATGAAAAAACGAACCCTGTCTGATATTATCGATTGATCGTATAGATCAACTATGAAAACGTTTCGTTCCAATCGCAGATACTGGCAGGACGTGAACAAGAAGCAAACGCTCGGCGAAATCCTCGAGGCCCTGACTCGCTGCCAAACTATTCTGCGCGACGAGCTGGATGACCCGAGTGGGGCAAGGTTAATGGACGTCGTTAGTGCAGCATTCGCGAACCTTGAACAAAGGCTCAAAGGGCAGATGTGAAAACTACGCTCAGGAGAAAAAAATCAATAATTTACGACGCATGCTGATGATCATCCAGATTTTTCGCTTTCTTGAAGCGTTGGTTTTCGATCAAAATTATGGTAGAAAACACGTTCGCTGAAGACTTCATTTCAAACCCTGATGCGTTATAGAACCTGAATTCGTTGTTCGGTGATCACCAGTTGGATTCGAACAAAACCCTGTTGGGTCAATCGATTCAGTTCCCCCCCCCCCGGGTTTTTTTCCCCCGCGTTTCTTGTGATGTTTGAAAAGATCCTAGTCAAATGTAGCATAGAAATACACATCTTCAGTGGATATCGGTCATCTTTCAATACCTTTTATACCCACTTCATATCACTTGCTGAGTATCCTCAATGGTTCACCAGCCAATCCCTTCGCCTAAATATTCCCAGTTCTGAATTCTTTCTTCCGTGTCCTACAGAATCTACAAAAAGACGCCCAGTGTCAATCCAAATTTGATGCGCCTTCTCTCAAATCATTGTCATCACGGAAATGCAACAGCCAGTAATCGTATCTTCAAGTCGTCATAAGAAAAGTTTCCAAGATGAATACCTTTCCAGAAATAATACAAATGCCACCCACAGCAAAAAAAAAGGTTGATTTGAAGAAATTTCAACCAGAGAAGATCAATTGCGCGATTCACAAATTTTCGAAGTTTTCATATGGCGCCCGTAATTGGGAAATCAAAGTTTATTTCGCGTGTGCAAAGAACTGATGTTTTCTCAGGAATGTCCCAAGAAAAAGCTGTTCTGCCCAAAATCAGCGATGATTAACATTGATTCAGCGAATAATGACCAAATAAAAGAACACACGTTTTTCTCGTAGGATCGATCACGAGGGTTGTCCCAGTTGAAAGCGACCTCTGATATTCTCAAATAGGTGTCATTGTTGGAACAAAAACAAAATCAGGAAATACAGTAGCTTATGATGTTCTCAGGTTCTGGGATTTTTCCGAATTTAAAAAACCGCTGATTTATTTAAAAAAAAAAAAAAAAAAAGCTCGTAGATGAGACCAACACACAGTGTTAAAGAGACGCAGAAATGAGTGGAACAACCATCAATTTTTTTTTCTGGGTGGTAAATGGAAAACGCCGGGAGAATATCCCTGAGGGGTTTTCATTTTTGTCTCGTTTCCACGGGGACGAGGGTAATGAAAAGCCGGCTCAGTCAATTTGAGGAAATTTCCTCCCCATGGGTTCAGAAAAACCCTGCTTGAAATATCCCACGCCAGAAACAATCCTCGCGGGACTGAGCAAAAGCACACCAGGTCAAGCCAGCCAGCTACCTTTTAGTTGGACGATAAATATTCTTGCTCGCAGAAAACCCTCGCAGACTCGGCCGAGAGAACCATGCCATTGACAGGAGAACATAACCCACGCTCACCGGGGTTCTCGGAAGATTGGTTGCTCTTCTGAGCGGAGATGCCCGTGAGCATTTGTTACCGATCCCTGACCGGCCACCCTTGACGCCCGGCGTAACAAGAACTCGAAATATATGAGCCAGCTGGTCACCTGACCCCACGGGAAAACCTGCTTTCCCGTAGGCCACAAATACATCACGGTCTAATTACATCGTTCTGCCCGGAATGGATTTGAACTTTACATTGCTCCACTTCGAACTCAATCAGGTTCGGCGTAGTAAAATTTGGCCCTTTTGTGCGACTCGAACCGGAGAAAACCCCCGTGAGCTCGTGGAAACCCTCTTTTCCAAGTGCTTGTAACCCGGGATGGGCATGAGATTGGTATACAAGACAGTACTGTACTATAGAAAACTCACAATTTGTAGTTCATTCAACTAAACCTCATGCAGAAACAAGCTGAATACCTTGTGCTTTAAATTAATTTTTACATATATTTTGTTACCAATGTCAGGGAATGAATGGGTGTATGCATACATGTCAGATGTCCAGTTATATTTTGTGGATTGTATTTTTGTTTATTTTTNGATGTCCAGTTATATTTTGTGGATTGTATTTTTGTTTATTTTTGTTATCAATTTGTGCTTTCCTGCTCTGAAGTGATTAAATGTCATTGAGTGGATTTGGGTTGGGTGGGAAGGAGGTTTGGCTGTGGAAATCTTGAGTGAACCTTGTGAACGCTGAAAAGCGGCAAATAAAGTGTTCTGTTCATTCATTCGCAAATTGTTACAATGAATTCCTATAGAGACCTGCAGTCACAATTGTTATAAGGAAAGACTTGCTAAATTGGTTGATTCCATCAAACCTAAATGTTCTTCTAGTCAATTCAAAAATACGGTACTAAACAAACAAACAAGGTTTTCCTGCAACAATTTTTTTAATCTAATAAGAGGAAAACTAAGCAAAACCATGAAAAAGTACAAATCGATTCAACTGAGTCTTAAAATTTCTTGCTTTTATAATGATATTTTTCAGCATTGTTTCTAACAAGAATTTAGGTTGTTGCTATGCAAATTTGACCGGTATCCCATAAATAGTTTCCCCGTAATTTGAGTGCAGTACTGTAAAATGGGAATTACCCTGCAGATCCTTCGCAACATAAATGTAGTCCAGAAAATTTCAGCAAAAATCGTGGAGTACCTCGTAATATCATTGAAAATTTTTCCAAGAATTTCCCGACGAAAAATTCTAAGTCAATATGAAATTTCCACTGGAATAAAAATTTTATTCAGTTCTAAAACTTTTTAAGCACCAAAATCTCGACTCAGAACAAAAATTCGCTGTATACTCATACAATCGATGATTAATATTGAAAAAGTAGACATTAAAAAAACCAATTGCACCCTTTTGCAAAAAAAAAAACCAATCCTGCGACGAAGCAGTGGATGGTTGCTAAGAGGAATTCTACACAGATGGACATAGAGTACTTCACATGGAATACAATTTGATTCCTTAACAAAAACAAGTTCACGAATTCTTTAATGCTGGAGGATGCCACAAACAGCCCCATATGCATTTCATAAGTTAACAATATTTTGCCATGATTCCACGACTTCCAATCTGGGCTTTACACCCCTAGGTTATGAGGTTTAATTGGGTTCCATGGGGGTATAAATCTTGACAAAACCTTTATTTTCGCGAAGATCTAGGACTGTTTTTTTTCCTTCTCCAGCACGGCTAAGCAATTAAGTTCAAACGACACACGTTCGTCGAACGTTTAAAAAAAATTATAGGAAGAATTCACCCAAGGTTTGTGACACACACAAACGTTGACTTTACCAAGACCCGATGCTTTTTTTTTTTTTGTACGCCTCAATTCTGAATATCACTAGCGAGTCACTCATCTTGATGAACCAAGAATGCTTGTAAACAAACACGTTCACTTAGGATACAGGGGGAATCTCTACCACATACCGACGAGATGTCTAAACAAAAAAAAAGAAAAATCAGGGTAGACTGAAAAGGTGATGGGGAAAGGGCAATTTGTTGATCGGAATAATGGTCGAGAAAGTAATTTCGAACTGGCTGGTATGCGATAATATTCCGGCATAAGTGTTCCACGAGGCGGCTTCCAGCGACTCGAGTCACGCACTCACTATAGCGTTTCTCCGGGACACGAAGACTTGTTCCACGGGTGCGAACCTCGTGACGTGGCCCTTACGACCTGGGTGCTGATCACCGTTCTCAATCGCCGCGGATATACTCGAGTTCCCGAACCACGTAATCATCCGCGTACCCAGCGCCGGAGATTGCATTGCGTTTAAACCACAGCTGGTGCGACGGATCTAATCCTTCGCTGCAAAACGTCTAGGTCATGCTTGAGTCATCGACGATTGTGGTCATGCCCCGGCGTTCGAACCAGGGGGTTTACCAGCCAGCAGAGAGCCATAAATTTCACAAATATTTGGCCTCCATGTATGGAGGGAAATATTTATTGAATCACCCCTCCCCCGAGAGAGAAGTTGTTCGAACCACGCCGATTCCAAAAACCGTCTGACTGCAGTTCCTTCAGCTTCGAAAACCAAACGTGGCGAAGAAAATAATGTACTGCAACTTTTAAAATCTCGATCATTTGAAGTCCAACAATTTCAGAATCAACGCTTGAGATGAGCTTTATTGAATCATCAGGACTTCGAAACCAAAAAATCCCACAACTGAAATTCAAAATAAAGGAACTCTATAGATTATAGAAAGGCAAACACACTCTCGATTTCTATAAAACTAGAAAAAAAACTTCAAGATTGATGATTTAAATACAGTGTGTTCTTCAAGCCCCGACAAGTTCAGAATCTAGAAGTCAAACTTATGATGAAGAAAATGAGCAAGCAGACGCTTTTAAACAAAAGAAGAAGAATAAATGATGCTATATTTTAGGGTTGCAATTATAACCCTGGAAATACGTTCTTTGAAAAAACTGAAGTGGTCTCAGTCAAATGAAAAAAAAAACAACTCCCAACTAACAAAATAACAACTGCAAACGGAATCATTTTCTAAGTTTGAAGAATTTTAAACAAAACATATCAATCACATGCAGTCAAATAATGTACAATTAAGGCATTTGAATTCCCGAAGAGGCAATTCGCGGAAAAATATCATAGCTTTTAATTCTTTTCGATTCGCGAATCAATGCCTGGATGAAAAAAAAAAGCAGAATGTGACTCGCCTATTTCGAAAATCTCTCCTGAATGATGAAGACGTCGATTTAATATTTGTACTTATCAAGATCCTTTTCAAATGAAGAACTGAGAAACCAAACCGACAAGCTGAGGCTGCATGTACAGTACTCACGAATAGAATATCTTCGAACAGCTTAACTAGCTGACTCATTGATACTTTATTCCTCTTTCGTCATTTTACTAGGGAACATGATGAAGTATGGTTACCGTCTTTCCGATGGCATCGGATTTTCCTTAGTCCTTCATTCATAGCGCTTTTCTTTCCTCAATTTATTTCCTGTTCCTTGAGGATTAAAAGAAAAATTTTCCGTGATTTTCACAGTACTTGGACCTCCAGAGAGAGAGAGAGCAATTACGAGGGAAATCACAGCCGATTTTTTATTTAAAATTCTTTCCGATGGTCTTCGCTTAGTCACGAGAAAATAGTTTCACTGAAGTTACGGTGAATATTTGCAATGAAAAATAAAATCCAGTCGTGAGAAGAAAAAACGGAAGAAAAAAATAACCCGATTAAAAACAGAAAATTTATTTGGACAGATCCCGGAACGACTTTCGCAGCGCGAAATAACGACCAATGCGGTGGGTATCAATTTCGGATCAACCAAAAATAGATTTCAAATCGAACCAACCACTGGTTC